GGATGAAGATGTTCACATCCTGGACAGAGAGGAACGATGGTTTGAGAGAGGAGTAAAGGAGGCCATCTTTGTGAAAAGAAATCGTCCATCATTAAACAGGGGTGGAGGCCTCCGGGTTCAACTGTCCCCCTCTTACAATGCTGTGATTGCTAGTATCACTCAGCCCTCTGTGAACAGTAAACAGCCATCAGTGTGCTAATGATCCATTGTTAGGCTGATGGTCCTTCTTGAGCATGTGATCAGCTGGTTTTGGTTGTCAGCAGCAAAACTGGTTGATCCACTCTGAGAAGGTGCTATTTAAGAGACTGAGCTGAATACAGCACCTCAGACTGAGGAAGACTCTTGGATGAGAGACGAAACGTTTCTACATTTTTTTGTTGTTTTGCTTTTTTTTAATTTTTTGAATGTCCAGAGGACCAGATTGAACTTTTTTGGATTTTTCTACCTGGATTATTGAGCATGCATCAGGATACAGAGCACAGATTATTTACCATTACATTTTTCCAGATTAGATGAACATTTTTTCTTCCAAATAAAATCAAATTAAGTTTTGTCCACTTTTGAAATGATATCCTTGGAAACCTCAAGGGCAGAAGTCGCATACACCAAACTGGAAAGACCTTCAGCTTTAGAGAGTAAGACACGACTGGAGATGGATAAATCTCTCTGGACCATCCATCCATCCATCCATCCATTATCTTTACCCGCTTATTCCATTTTGGGTCACGGGGGTCGCTGGTGCCCATGTGCAGCAGTCACTGTGCGGAGGGCGGGGTACACCCTGGACGGGTCGCAAGTTCATCACAGGGACACATAGAGACAAACGAGACAAACAACCATTCACACTCTCTCTCACACCTAGGGACAATTTAGAGTTACCAATCAGCCTAACATGCATGTTTTTGGTCTGTGGGAGGAAACCGGAGCACACGGAGAAAACCCACGCATGCACGAGAGAACATGCAAACTCCACCCAGAAAGGCCCCTGGACCGGGGTTTGAACCAGGGACCTGCTCGCTGAGAGGCAGCAGCTCTACCAGATGTGCCACCGTGCTTCTCTCTGGACCCATAAATTGATTTTCTTTTGGATTACAGTAACAAGGGGATTGCAGTTTTCACTTAATCTTTGGTCCTCTTCTTTTATGATATAAATACCAAGATATTTAACTTTGTGTTTTACTGGAATTCCTGAGATTTCTGTGTCATGACAAGTTTTAATAGGGAGTAACTCACATTTAGATAAATTAAGATTGAGACCAGAAGCTGAAGAAAATTCACCAAGCAGCTCAACAGCACACTTTACTTGAGAGCAATCTTTAAGAAATAAAGTTGTGTCATCTGCCAGTTGGCTCAGATATATTTCTCTACCAGCAATTTGAATACCTTTTAAGCTTTAAACTGTTTTTTATGAAATGTGCTAAAATTTCCATAGGAAGAAGGAACAAAAATGGAGAAATTGGACAACCTTGTCCACGCTCAACATTAAATCTACCGGAGGTCCCATGGGCTAGTTTAATTGAACTATTACCAAAGGCGTAGAGGGTGCGTATTGATTTCTTAAAGTGCTCCCCAAAGCCAAATAGATCTAAAGTTTTAAATAGAAAATCATGTTCCAGTGAGTCAAAGGCTTTATGGAAGTCAAGAAAGAGAATAAAACTATTTTCTGATATTAAATCTGAGTAGTCTAATAAGTCTAAAATAAGCCTTATATTATCAATTATGTATCTTCCAGCCATAAGACCATTTTGAGATTCCCCAATAACATCATGATGTACTTTTTTCAATTTGTTGGCTAAGCATAATGCTAATATTTTATAATCATTATTTAACAATGTGATGGGGCGCCAGTTGTCTAAAACTAATAAATCTTTTTGTGTCTTTGGGATGAGTGTAATTAAGCCTCGACGTAGCGTGGACGGTAGTTGTTCTTTATGTATACTTTCTATAAACACATTCAACAAAAATGGAGCAAGTTCAGCTGAGAATAATTTGTAAAATTCAGAGGTTAGCCCATCGATACCTGGGGATTTATTTAGTTTCAGTTTTTTAATAGCATCTGAGATTTCTATAAGTGTAATGGTGAGTCACAAACAGATTTTTTGAATTCGCTGATTGTCTTAATATTATCTAGATTCTTAAAAAATCATCAATTTGAGTAGGTGAAATAGTTCAGGTATATAACAAACTTTATGTTTTTGAAACCATTAGTGAAAAGGCCAGACTTCAGGGGTATCTGAGGCAGGCTTGAAACACAAGAGTCAGGGTGGCTTCTGGGTAATACCAGATGGCTAGGCCTCAGACTGACGAAGCCTCTTGGATGAGGGGCGAAATGTTTCTTTTTTAACAAAAAAAAAAACGAAGTCCAGATGACATGATTCAACCTTTTTTGTTGTTATATACCTGGATGACTGAGAAAACAAACTTTGAGTTCAGGTATATAGTTTTTATAGAAATTCTCACAAAGTTTAGATAGTTCTTTTGGATTTTCTATGATATTACCATTTGAAGAGAGTCTGTTTATACTATTTTTGTTTTGTCTCTGTTTTTCTAATTTAAAGAAATAGAGTTTTGCTCTCCCTCCTCCAACCACTTGGCTCTTGAGCGTACAAACGCACCTTTAGCTTTACTGATATGTAATTGATCAAGTTTTAGTTGTAAAGTTAGGAGCTCTGCTTGCTGTAGTTCAGATTAATGTTCTGGCAATATGGAGGATAGAGAAATTAAATTGGCTATTTAATTATTTTCATGTAATTTATTTTCTTTTTTTTTGTTTAGCACTTGTTTCTATAAACAATCTTCTTAGTTCATATTTTAAAAGCTCCCATTGTTTTTGATATTTCCCTTTATCTTCTGCAGTTTTGAAACGCTCTAAAATTTTTCTTCTAATTATTTCATTTAAAGAATCATTTTGTAATAAAGAAATATTTAATTTCCAGTATGCAGGGTATCTTTGAGTTTGATTATCAGGTGATAAGTTTAAAGTTAGTACAATTGCTTTATGATCTGTTAAGGGAGTTGGCATAATTTCTGTCATGCAAATTACCTGAGCAAGAGATTCTGAGATTAACCAAAAATCTATTCTAGATCGCAGAGAACCAGCGTTATCTGTCCATGTAAACTCTTTATTGTTTGGATTAGTAACTCTCCAAATATCAATAAGACTTTTTTCATTAATAAAATCTGTCAAAAAACAGTTAGTTTTATTTCTACCAGGCCATCTATCAATGTCATCATTAACTGTGCAGTTAAAATCCCCTCCCAGTATTACTTTAACATCAGTGAACCTTTCCATGATACTTTCAGTAGTATTACTCAGTGTTTGGAATAACTCTTTGTTTTCTCTTGTGTTAGAGTAACCATAGACATTACCTAATAGATAAAACTGGTTGCAGTAACAAAAAACTATCAACATATAATATCCATTTGGGGCAGATTGAGTGAAAATAATCTTCTCATTAAATTTGTGCTTCAGGGTTAAAGTTCCAGCTGAGTGATGGTTTCCATGGGACATCCACAGGTGATTTCCAGAAGTTGTAATCTTCTTCAGCAGAGTGTGATTCTTGAACCAAGCAGAAGTCTGAGTCAAACTGTTTTGCATAAAGAAAAACTGCCTTGCGTTTAGTAATGTCTCTTAAGCCTCGAGCATTAACTGAAATAAATTTTAAAGTAGAAATGTTCAACAGGAACAGACAAACAAACAAAAAAGTCAGAGCAGGGATGTACTCTTAGATTAGAATAATCATAGAGTATTCTCCCTTTCAAAGCACCAGTTAGAAAATTTCTTTGTTCTCCACAAAGGCTCTCCCTCCGACGAAGTAGGCCAGCTTCTTCTCCTCCCTTGCCTTTTGGATGGTGGGCCACAGACGCTTCCTTTTTTCACGATCCTCCGGAGTCAGATCCTCCATGAAACGTAGGTTGCTCTGTGTCAGGTACTCAGCCTTTTTGGACATCTTCCATATTGCATCCCGGTAGTGCCTCATGGAAAATTGGATTATAATATCCCGCGTATGACGATGAGCCATAGCTGCTTTTGTTCTTCCAAGCCTGTGCACTGTCAATCACTTCAGCAAACTTCTCTTTGTAGCATGGAGCAATGTTTTGCCAAATTTTGATTACTTTCATCCGCACGTCTTCTCCTCTGCCTCGTGCAAACCACGCAGGCGTAGGTTCCAACGGCGTTTGTCGCGTGACAATCCAAGGACTTTATTTTCTAACATTTTATTTTCTCTTCTGCAGTATCCACTCTCTTCACCATGTTCTGTATTGTTCCTTTGATGTCTTGTAAGTCAGCCGAAAGAAATTCAACTGACCTTCTGAGTTCATCCAAAGACTTTTCCAAGGACTTTTCGATGGAAGATCCTTGTTCGTGGATAGCTAGCTTTAGCTCCTTCACAATGTCGACTGCTGATTCTTGCTCCATTTTGCCTTTTTTAGTGTTGGTGGATTTAGTTGGTGTAAGAGAAGGAGGAATGTCACTCTTTCTTTTCGACGTGGGATTATTTGGCATTGCTACAAAATACCAACAATCATTAAAGATGCCGTTTTTCAACAAAGTTTTGGGAGAAACTCCGGCATAGCGTCTACCTCCTCTCCGCCATCTTGGCATTCCAGCAGCTGAGACCGTGCGATCTGTTCTGAACCAGGTTATGAGTCAGAGTAGGTCAGACCAGGCTTCCAGCAAGATTAAACTTCTAACACATCCTATTCCATAACAGGCTCGTTTTGTCCACGTTAATAACTTGTTCAGACCTGTAGACCCCCGGCTCGGTGATCAGATCTTTGAACGTCGTGTTAACAAACTCCTCCGCTCCTGCTGTCAGTGGACGCAGCCTCTCTGTGCAGAGAAACATTTTTAATCAAAACTGTTTTTGAAATTTGTCGAACCGTCTCTTGCTGGGGCAGCACGGTGGCGCAACTGGTAGAGCTGCTGCCTCTCAGCAAGCAGGTCCCTGGTTCAAATCCCAGTCAGGGCCCTTTCTGGGTGGAGTTTACATGTTCTCTCCATGCATACGTGGGTTTTCTCCAGGTGCTCCGGTTTCCTCCCACAGACCAAAAACATGCATGTTAGGCTGATTGGTAACTCTAAATTGTCCCTTGGTGTGAGTGAGAGAGTGAATGGTTGTTTGTCTCGTTTGTCTCTATGTGTTCCTATGATGGACTTGCGACCTATCCAGAGTGTCCCCCACCCCTCGCACAGTGATTGCTGGACATGAGCACCGGCTTGCTGCAAGATGATCATACAGTAAAGTTGTTTCACCTTTGGTGTTTGGTATCCAAAGGGATGTTTTTTTTCTGTAATCATTAATCCACCTGACCAATGCAGCTTCCATCTTAATAACTGTGCCGTAGGTGGCCGGCAACTTCTGCCTAGGTACGGCCATCTTAAAGTTTGTCCAGAAGTTATGCTTTTCTCTTTAATCATCAGCATCTTCCACTGGCGTTTCAGTTTGCCACCAGGAACTTTTGAACACACAGAACGTTTGGAAGCCATCCAGTTGAAAAATAGTGGAGACAAACAAACCCCCTGTTACTAGTGTAACAGTAACTTTTAGAAACATAATAAATCCATCCATCCATCCATCCATCCATCCATCCATCCATCCATCCATCCATCCATCTATCCATTATCTTTCCCTGCTTTTTCCTTTTCAGGTCGTAGGGGTCAATGGCGCCCATGTCCAGCAGTCACTGTGCGAGAGACGGGGACACCCTGGACAGGTCTCCAGTCCATCACAGGGCCCTTTTACAAACACTAACAAATAATGTTACTGATCCGATCAGCGCCCGGGTCACATAGCTCAATGTTCTGTTTCTTAAAGAGACATGTCCTGACATGATTCACATTTTATTTTGAATCTTTTGTTTGTAAAGTTGAATTTTCTTTAAAAAAAAAACTTTTCCATGTAACATGAATTAAATTTTACATTTGAAAGGCTGGTTCAGCAGTCATGACTTCATCTCGCAAAAATAGTGTTAGGCAGAAAACAGCGGTCTGAGGCACTACAGTTACAGCACAGCATTGATTTGAGGGAAATGTAGTCCTTATGAGTGGCAATTACAGTACAGTGGAGGCTGAATGAAAGAAAACTACAAAATGGCAATGCCTGTCGGAATCATTTTTTTTTGTCATTAACTCTTTCACAACCACGAGAACAGTGATATTACTGTACAGTCCACAATAGTGTGTCTTGTACAATTTTTTTGTCCAGTATTATGGACAGTACATTCACAAACCGCCAACGCGAAAGTCGAACCGTGAAGTAGCGAGGGACTACTCTACAAAGTATTTCAGTCCCACACCTGCTAACATACAACTACTCAGTACTCTTCAGACTCGTATCACCACATCCCCCTTTCTTTAGAAGTAGCAGTATCAAACTATTTACATTATATTTTATAACATTTTAAAGAACTTCTTTTATTAATTTTGAAATTGCACCCTTTTTATTTATTTTTATTTTTAAAAGTTTAACAGTAGCCAGTGTGTGGCTCTTCACAGCAGGCAATGTATTAGCCTGTTCAGCTGATTTGACTATTTCTGGCTCAGCTGGTGGTGGATCAGCTGAGGTCACGATAGCACGATCGTCATCTTCATGTTGTTGCAGTCTCTTGTGTTTTCAGCAGACTCATATGATTCCTCCTCAGTATCTGTCAATCTTCTGTTTTCACAGTGTAGGATCTCGGAGCACCTCCTCCATCATTGTAGCTTTTGTACTCCAGACATTGGAATCCACTCTCACAGTGTCATGCCTCGTTAGAGGAGCTCAACTCTGCCATATTAGCTTTTTGTCTACTTTGAAGATGTTTCAGTTTCTGTCTCACCTCTTTGTCCCTTTTCTGTTGAGCCATATAGGGAAGGGTGGTACGTAGCCTACATCCCATCAGAAGCTCTGCATGAGATTTACCACGTCCCAGTGGTGGGGCTCAGTAACTCCGTAAAGCTAGATAAGGGTCAGATCTGCAGTCTTGAGCCTTCTTGAGTAACTGCTTGACAATATGAACTCCTTTCTCAGCTTTCCCATTTCACTGGGGATGCAAAATACTTGAAGTCAAATAAATCATACTCTTTTGCAAAACTCTGGATCAATTTGTAACAATAACAGGGTCTGTTGACACTCTAGACAACATGAGAAATTCCTTGTTTTGCAAATATTGATTTTATGCATCTGATAACACAAGTAGCAAACATGCTGGGAAGCAGCACCATCTCTGGATAATTTGAAAGTTAGTCAATCACCAAAAGATTTTTTCCATCCAGGTTCAACATGTCTGTCCCAACTTTCTGCCAAGGTTCATCTGGTAAATCTATTCTTGCTGTTTTCACTTCTTTGCTTAGAATCTCAAACAGGTTTGATAGCTTGAGACCATCCTGTCAATATCTGCATTTATTCCTGGCCAATAAACTGCTGCTCTTGCTCGTTCTCTTTTTTTTCCATGCCAAGATGTTCCTCATGCAGTATTCTCAACACCTCTGGTCTCTTTGACGAGGAATGACAATCCTGTTCTCTTTGAGTCCATGGACAAAAATAAGTTTTGCTCTTATATCATAGTATTGTCGACATTCACCTCTGGGTGAACATTAAAAACGTTACTAGAACTGCCTTCTTCCACCTGCGTAATATCACAAAAATTAGAAACATCTTATCTAAAAATGATGCAGAAAAACTGGTCCATGCATTTGTCACGTCTAGACTGGATTATTGCAATAGTTTATTATCTGGATGTCCAAATACTTCTTTAAGACGTCTTCAGTTGATCCAAAATGCTGCTGCTAGAGTCTTAACCAGAGTTTATAGGAGAGCTCATATTTCTCCAGTTTTAGCTTCTCTCCATTGGCTCCCTGTCAAATCCAGAATAGATTTCAAAATCTTACTTCTAACCTACAAAGCTCTCAACAACCTAGCTCCATCTTATATTACAGATCTTATTGTTCCATATTTTCCTAACAGAGCACTTCGCCCTCAGACTGCAGGTTTACTTGTGGTTCCTAGAATTTACAAAAACAGAATGGGAGGCAGATCTTTCAGTTATCAGGCTCCTCTCTTGTGGAACCAACTTCCAACCTCTGTCCGTGAGGCTGACACATTATCCAGTTTTAAAACTAGACTTAAGACTTTCCTTTTTGCTAAATCCTGTAGTTAGGGTCAGCTTGGGTTTCCTGAGCTGTCCCTTAGTTATGCTGCTATAGGCTTAGACTGCTGGAGGACAACCTGACCACAATTTTCACTCTGCTACTGTCTTTACTTACTCTGCTCAACCTGTTTTGTATTTGTAATTATTTTTTCTATCCTTAACATGTTTTTTTTGTCTTTCAGATACACCTGGACCTCTACCTGGACCTACCATTCTGTGTTCGTCTGTCTCCTTCCTGTCCTCTCAACCAGCCGGTCAAAGCAGATGGCCGCTTGTCCTGAGCCTGGTTCTGCTGGAGGTTTCTTCCTTTTAAAAGGGAGTTTTTCCTTTCCACTGTTGCCACTGTGCTTGCTCAGGATGGGAGACTGCAACGAAGCCAAGATTCATCTTGTCTGCTGGATCTCTTAGATAGAGAACTTTACTAATTGGCTTTTATGTATGTGAATGTTCCTGTAAAGTGCCCTGAGACAACTTTGTTGTGATTTGGCGCTGTATAAATAAACTGAATTGAATTGAATTGGGTCAACCATGATTCACATTTTAATGACTCCGTCGACCTGCATCTTTCTCAGGTTTTATGACAGTTTGCTGAGATTTCATATCAGACACTGGTAGTGTTTCAGTTACCAGAGTCGCATCAGTCTCTGTGGAGCTCTCACTGTGTGTTGTGGCTCAGAAAAGGGCTTCAGCAAGCACAAAGTGTATACCTGGTGTACAGATCAGACTGAAGTCATAGCACTGAAGCTTCATCATCAATCTCTGGATGCATGGTAATGTCTCACTGTTTGTTCTGATGATGGCAATTGATGGTTTGTGGTCTGCCTCCGCCACTAATGTTGGTAGGCTATAGATGTAGCTGTGAAATTTTTCAAACCCATATACTAGTCCTAGACACTCCTTTTCGATTTGCGCATATCTATTTAATTTTACTTAATAAATGCACATCAATGGTCAAATTAGCTGCATTTCACTGGGGCAGCGCAGCGAAATGAAGCTGATTTGATGGTTACTCCAAGCGAGCAGAATGAAGGTGGCAGATTACGACAAGCTGAATGTGTCATTAATAGCCACTTTTACCTATTACATGACACAACAACAAGCCATACTACTCGAATGCCATCTAATGGCTGAAAATGGTAGTGTTCAATATTTTCAGTCAAAATGAATGAAAACGGTCATATCTCAGCCAAAAATTGGTTTATAAATATGGGGAAAGAAACATAAATATGTCGCTTCGGCGTATAAGTTGCAGGGCATGTAAATTATGCAACAACAAAAAAAACGTGA